CAACCTCCGTCTCCTGGGTTCAGGCAATTCTCCTGCCTCAGCCTCCTGAGTAGCTGGGATTACAGGCACGTGCCACCATGCCCAGCTAATTTTTTGTATTTTTTTTTCAGTAGAGACGGGGTTTCACCATGTTGACCAGGATGGTCTCGATCTCTTGACCTCGTGATCCACCCGCCTCAGCCTCCCAAAGTGCTGGGATTACAGGCTTGAGCTACCGCACTCGGCCTGTCTTGTCTATTTTTAATCAGGACCCTCACTGCAGAAGGCAAGTCTAGAGTGTGGTAACATATGTTTTCTTAGCTTCAAATCCCACGACTGTTGGTATTGGATGTGATGAGCAAGTTGATTAGCCTTTCCTAATTTCTCCCTTTTGTCAAATGGGCAATACCCCTCCTAAAAATGTTACAGGTCTGTTTGTGGGTTCAGTGAGATACCATCTGGTAAAAGTGTATAGCTCTTTACCAGTCTTTGTTATTTTTAGAGACCTGCAGTAGGGAGAGAGAGGAGAGATTCTCTGAAAACAACCACGTTTAGAGACACAGTTCCTAGTGAAATTGAACCCAGATAATGATCCATCTCTGTTGAGACTATACAGAAGAATGTGAACAAATATACTGAATTTCTGAGTTTGCATTGAAGAATTATAGTCTCATATTATTAAACTAAAATTCCCAATTATGCTAAACTATAACCAAAGAGGTCTTATCTCAAGGCATACCACATAAATATATGTCGAGAAAAAATCAGAAATGAATTTCTGGACACATGGAAGATCCTGATTTATTGAGCTAGGAAAGGAAACAGGTAGGAGAAGCATACTTTTCTATTGCAACCTTCTGTTCTATCCTTCGCAATTATTCAGATCATATTCAGTTAATCATTCATGTTGAAAGGTGTGCAATTACAGAGATAGACAGACTTTCAGTTGCCATGGTGAAATGAGACTTTTCTTTTGGGTGTTTTTTTTTTTCTTTTGAGACAGAGTCTCGTTCTGTCACTCAGGCTGGAGTACAGTGGCATCATCTTGGCTCACTGCAATCTCTGCCTACTGGGTTCAAGTGATTCTCCTGCCTCAGCCTCCCTAGTAGCTGAGATTACAGGTGCCCATCACCACGCCTATCTAATTTTGGTATTTTTGTTTTGTTTTGTTTTGTTTTTGAGATGGAGTCTCCCTCTGTCACCAGGCTGGAGTGCAATGGTGTGATCTACTCACTGCAACCTCTGCCTCCAAGTTCAAGTGATTCTCCTGCCTCAGCCTCCTAAATAGCTGGAACTACAGGCATGTGCCACCATGCCCAGCTAATTTTTGTATTTTTAGTAGAGACGGGGTTTCACCATGTTGGTCAGGATGGTCTCAATCTCTTGACCTTATGATTTGCCTGCCTCGGCCTCCCAAAGTGCTGGGATGACAGGCGTGAGCCACCATGCCTGGCTAATTTTTGTATTTTTTAGTACAGACAGGGTTTCACCATGTTGGCCAGGCTGGTCTTGAACTCCTCACCTCAGGTGATCCACCCCCCTCAGCCTCCCAAAGTGCTGGTATTACAGGTGTGAGACACCACGCCCGGCTCTTTTGGGATGTTTTAATCTCTGAATTTTCTGATCTGTTCTGTTTGCATTTGCATATTACCTTCAGCTCTAACATGTGCTGTGTACAAAATGGACTCTCATAAATGCCTGAAATAGATGGCTTCCATAGTTCCAAGAACTGTGTTGCTTTGGTTCCTGAGAACTCAGTAGTGTAGGTAATTTGCTAGAACACTAATGACTGAATACAGCATTTTTTAACTTTTAAGTTCAGGGGTCCATATGCAGGATGTGGTTTATTACGCTGGTAAATATATGACATGGAGGTCTGTTGTACTGATTATTTCATCACCCAGGAATTGAGCCATTAGTTATTTTTCCTGATCCTGTCCCTCTTCCACCCTCCATCCTCCAATAGGCCCCAGTGTGTATTGTTCCCTTATATGTGTCCATGTGTTCTCATCATTTAGCTCTCACTTGTAAGTGAGAACATGCAGTATGTGTTTTCCTGTTCCTGTGTTAATTTACTTAGGATAATGGCCTCCAGCTCCATCTGTGTCCCTGCAAAGGACATAATCATGTTCTTTTTGATGGCTGCATAGTATTCCATGGTGTATATGTACTACATTTTCTTTATCCAGTCTATCATTGATGGGCATTTGGGTTGATTCCATGTCTTTGCTATTGTGAAGAGTGCTGCAGTGAACATATGCATTCATGTGTCTTTATAACAGAATGATTTATATTCCTTTGGGTACATACCCAGTAATAAAATTGCTGGCTTGAATGGTATTTCTGACTTTAGGTCTTTGAGGACTCACCATGGTGTCTTCCACAGTGGTTGAACTAATTTACACTCCCTCCCACCAAGACTGTAAAAGCATTTCTTTTTCTCTACAACCTTGTCAGCATCTGTTAGTTTTTGACTTTTTAATAATAGCCATTCTTACTGGTCTGAGATGGTATCTCACTGTGGTTTTGATTTGCATTTCTCTAATGATCAATGATGTTGAGCTTTTTTCATATGCTCTTTGGCCACATATATGTCTTCTTTTGAAAAGTGTCTGTTCACGTCTTTTGCCTACTTTTTAATGGGGCTATTTGTTTTTTTTTCTTGTAAATTTAAGTCCTTTATAAATGCTGGATATTAGGCCTTTGTCAATACATAGTTTGTAAAAATTTTCTCCCATTCTGCAGGTTGATTATTCTGTTGATAGTTCCTTTTGCTGTACAGAAGCTCTCTAGTTTAATTAGATTTCATTTGTCAATTTTTGCTTTTGTTGCAATTACTTTTTGTGTCTTCATCATGAAAGCTTTGCCCATGCCTATGTCCCAAATGGTATTGTCTAGGTTATCTTCCGGAGCTTAATAGTTTGGGGTTTCACATTTACATCTTTTTTTTTTTTTTTTTTTTTTTTTTTTGAGATGGAGTCTTAACGTTGTCACCCAGGCTGGAGTGCAGTGGCGCAATCTCGGCTCACTGAAACTTCCGCCTCCTGGGTTCAAGCTATTCTCCTGCCTCAGCCTGCCTCCTTAGTAGCTGGGATTTGCCTCGGCCTCCCAAAGTGCCAAGATTACAGGCATGAGCCATCGTGCCCGGCCTACATTTAAGTCTTTAATCCATCTTGAGTTAATTTTTGTTTATGGTGTAAGGAAGGAGTCCAGTTTCAATGTTCTGCCTATGGCTAGCCACTTATCCCAGAACCATTTATTAAATAGGGAAGGCTTTCCCCATTGCTTGTTTTTGTCAGGTTTCTGGCAGATCAGATAGTTGTAGGTGGGCAGCCTTATTTCTGAGTTCAGTATTCTGTTCTATTGGTCTATGCATCTGTTCTTGTACCAGTACTATGCTGTTTTGTCCTCCAGAGGGCAGCAGACATCGAACAGAGGGCTGTGTTTGCTGTATTCGACGAGAACAAAAGCTGGTACCTTGAGGACAACATCAACAAGTTTTGTGAAAATCCTGATGAGGTGAAACGTGATGACCCCAACTTTTACGAATCGAACGTCATGAGCAGTAAGTCAGAGTACTATTTTTGTTCATCAGTTTTTCACTCCTGTGGTTGAAATATGACTGTGCCTAGAGTCAGAGACATGGATTAGAATCCACTCGCTAAAGAGCACCTCCAATCCTCACTTCCAGTCCAAAGACTTGGTGATGAAATCCATGGGTGACATCATAGCAAAATTTTTAAGCAAGAGGTCAAAGGCTCTCTATCCTTAGAAATGGACTTGGTCTTCTGTTCCAAGCGTGTGGGTATGTGTGCACATGCACATGTGTGTGTACACGTATGCACGTGTGCACACACAGACATACTCTGGGCAGTGAGGAACAGGATGAGGGGCTGGGGGTAATGGAAGATGTTACAGTCCATGTCAGTAGCATCCAAGAACTTTAGACTGAGTTCAGGGTGAATATTCTATATGGCCAGGGCAGAAACAAGGCAAATAATCCAAAGATGGATTAACACATCAAAGTAGGGCAAAATGACTACAGGGACCTAAGAGTCTTGGAAATTCAATGCATGAAGAAGTTTAAAGTGGTCAGTAAGAAGTTCAGGACAGAAGGAATTTCCTGAACGAGGGTTCCGGCATTTGCTGCAGTTCTAAAGTTCCGTAGTCAAAAGCACTGCCATGGCAGTCTGAGAGAAATGTCACTGAGCCAGTTGGAAGCAAACTTCTCCACAACAGCCAGGGTCCCCCTAGTGAGTCCCCTCTCAGAGTCTACAGTCATGGTAATCACCTTCTCTCTTAGGTAATCACACATGTGAGGATGATTTCTCCATGTTCTGTTCATATAGCTTCAGACGACTGACAGCTACAGATTATCAGAGCTCACAGGTGCCAGACAAATAATTCAGACAGAAAATTACTCTCAGCTTTCTTTGCATCACTTCCTTTTGGCAGTGAATCGATCATCGTTCTAGACTAGTGCTGTCCAATAGAAAGTACATATGAGCTACATATGTAATTTAAAATTTCCTGATAGCCACATTGAAGAGAGAAATAGGTGATATTAATTTTAGTAACATGTTTTACTTAACTCAATATACCCTAAATATTACCATTTCAACACATAATCAATATAAAAGTTAATGATATTTACTTTATTACTAAGTATTTGAAATCCAATGTATATTTTACACTCACAGCATACCTCAATCCAGTCTTCCCACATTGCAAGTACTCATAGCCACTTGTAGCCAATGGCTACCATATTGAACAATGCAGTTATAGACGATTTAGAAAAACATCTAGAATGAGGTACAAACTAATAATAATATATCATGTAAGTTATTCAAGTGACTTAAGTGATTTAAGTAGGTATTTAAATATTCGTTAACATCAGCCATTACACTGGTACTAAGGCTGAGAGTGGTAATCCATGTAGATATGAGCCCTGCCCTCATAGAAGTCAAACCTTTGATTTTTTACTGCTATGCTTAGTATATAATAAAAATATTCCCTACAGCTGTGTCCCTTTTAACAATAATGAAAATGTATGAACTGGATACCCGAAACTGTGGGTACTATCTAGATTATAAGACAGAGCAATAAAAACTAAAAAATATGCTAAATGGTCTTTACTTTTAGGTACATTACTTATTATCCAATGACTAATGTTATCAAAAAGATGAATTTCTTATATTAGGCCTCCAAGTGGAATTATTGGAATATCTTTAAAGGCAGAGAGTGGAACACAAAATATTTACTATACATTTGATGAATGAATAAATCAATATAAATGGAAGGTTTATCTTTTTCTTGATATTTCTCTTTTGGCTAATTTAGAAGAATAATCTCTCATTTGAGAATTCTGAGTTTGATCTTCTAGTCACATGTTAGATCAGATAAAGCTTATCTTGGATAATCACTGTTTTGACACAGCCATATTAACAGAGACATTTATCTTAGGTATAATTAGACACATGCCCTTTTGTTGGCATAGACCTAGAATTTTAACAGATTTTACTCTTTCAGCTATCAATGGCTATGTGCCCGAGAGCATACCTACTCTTGGATTCTGCTTTGAGGACACTGTTCAGTGGCACTTCTGTAGTGTGGGGACCCAGAATGACATTTTGACCATCCACTTCACTGGGCACTCATTCATCTATGGAAAGAGGCATGAGGACACCTTGACCCTCTTCCCCATGCGTGGAGAATCTGTGACGGTCACAATGGATAATGTTGGTGAGTAAGAGCCTGGACGTTCAGAGAGGCAGCTTGCTTTGAATTTCTGGTCTATAAAGGTCTGCGGGCAGCTCTCCAGGCTGCCAGGGCTCCTCTGTTTATCTCCCTGATCCCCTGCAGGCTTTTCTTTCAATGTTTCTCATGATTTCTCTTTGAGAAATTAATGACTTAAATGGATCCAGTCCTTTAATGTGGGTTATATTTCTCCTTCTCGGGGCAAAGTAGGAAGTAAAGACATACAACAGCAGAAAAATAAGGCATAACTCTGAGGAAGAAGCATAAATATTTTGGCCACAAAAGAGAATTTCTTTGATCAAAATGCCCTTTTCAGTTTTTTTGCGACAGCCATCTTCAGTCATCAGGTACAGTGCCTCAGAGGCTGCTTCAGCACCAGCTTTGGAGTTCGTCAGGCTGGAGTGCAAGTCCTGATCTGCCACTCAATTGCTGTATAACCTTACACAAATTATGTGGCCTCGCTGAGCCACAAATCACACCTCACAGAGTTACTTTGACCATTCAAACAGTAATATGTGCCAAGTGCCTAGCACTCAGTAGATACCAGCAATGGTAACTATTGGAGACTCACCAAGAAATTTTTTTCAGACGGAGTCTTGCTCTGCCACCCAGGCTGCAGTGAAGTGGCATGATCTCGGCTCACTACAACCTCCGCCTTCCAGGTTCAAGCGATTCTCCTGCCTCAGTCTCCTGAGTAGCTGGCACTACAGACTAATTTTTTGTATTTTTAGTAGAGATGGGGTTTCACCATATTAGCCAGGATGGTCTCTATCTCCTTGCCTCATGATCTGCCTGCCTTGGCTTCCCAAAGTGCTGGGATTACAGACGTGAGCCACCGCACCTGACCCCAAGAAATCTTTAGTGTGCCAGCAATGCATGTCATTTCGAAGATTCAAAGTTGCCCTCTTGAATTGCTTATTACTTAGAAACATCTAAATGTCTCTTATATGTGGGGATAGACCTCATCATCATCCCCTTAACTCTATTTCTAAAATAAGATGTGCTGTTATTTATGATATTAAAAGTTCATTTTATTTTTGATTCACCCCTTTCTTAATATATTCTCAAACAGTGAGATACTACCTGTCCTGAAAGACCTTTTTCTCCCCTAATCTCCACTAACTAATACTTTTGGTTTGTATTCTGTTAAATGAAATAAATGCACTAGTCATGTGCTTAGAGTCGCAGCAATGTCAAATTGCTTTAGAAAAAAAAAGTTTCTTAAACATTTCATTCTCATTTTCTCTCCTTATGTTATTGTGACCCAGTAATCAATAGTTCACAGATAAGCAGTAGTCCACAGCCCATACTTGAATGTCCCTGACTAAAGTTTATTAGAAATGACCTGCCACAATGGATTCTTATGTTTGCATGTCTTTTCTCAGACTTCCAGATCTCTCTTCTCTCTGTCTCTCTTCTGCAGGAACTTGGATATTAACTACCATGAATTCCAATCCAAGAAGCAAAAAGCTGAGGCTGAAATTCAGGGACGTTAAATGTATTCGAGATGATTATGAAGACTCATATGAGATTGAGATTTATGAACCACCAGAATCTTCGGTCATAGTTACACGGAAAATGCACGATCCTTCAGAAAATGAAGATGAAGAGAGTGATGCTGACTATGATTACCAGAATAGACTGGCTTCAGCATTAGGAATTAGGTCACTGAGAAATTCATCACTGAATCAGAAAGAAGAGGAGTTCAATCTTACTGCCCTAGCTCTGGAGAATAACAGTGAATTTATTTCTCCAAACACAGATATAACTGTTGGTTCAAATTATTCTTCCCCAACGAATATTAGTAAGCTCACTGTCAGTAACCTTGCAGAACCTCAGAAAACCCCTTCTCACCAACAAGCCACTATAGCTGGTTCCCCACAGAGACACCTCATTGGCAAGAACTCAGTTTTCCATTCTTCCAGAGCAGAGCATTCCAGCCCTTATTCTGAAAACCCTATAGAGGATCCTCTACAGTCAGATGTCACAAGGATACATCTACTTTCACTTGGTGCAGGAGAATTCAGAAGTCAAGAACATCCTAAACATAAGGAACCCAAGGTGAAAAGAGACCAAGCAGCAAAGCACAGGTTCTCCTGGATGAAATCACCAACAGATAAAATTGGGAGGCATCTAAGCCAAGACAATGGTTCTTCTTCCAGAATGAGGCCCCGGAAGGACCTTCCTAGTGATCTGTTACTCTTAAAACAAAAGAATCCATCTAAGATTCTGGTTGGGAAATGGCATTTGGCTTCTGAGAAAGGTAGCTATGAAGTAATCCAAGATACTGATGAAGACACAGCTGTTAACAATCAGCTGATCAGCCCTCAGAATGCCTCACGTGCCTGGGGAGAAAGCACCCCTCTTACCAACAAGCCTGGAAAGCCGAGTGGCCACCCAGAGTTTCCTAGAGTTAGACACAAAATTCTACAAGTAAGACAGGATGGAGGAAACAGTGGACTGAAGAGAAGCCAGTTTCTCATTAAGACACGAAAAAAGAGAAAAGAGAAGCATACACACCATGCTCATTTATCTCCAAGGGCCTTTCACTCTCTAAGAAGTGAAGCCTACAACATATTTTCAGAAAGAAGATTTAATCATTCCTTGTGGCTCCATAAATCCAATAAAACATCTCTTCCCATAGACCTCAATGAGACATTGCCCTCTGTGGATTTTGGCTGGATACCCTCACTTCCTGACCATAATCAGAATTCCTCAAATGACACTGGTCAGACAAGTTCTCCAGATCTTTATCAGTCAGTGCCCCCAGAGGAACGCTATGAAACATTCCCTATTCAAGACCCTGATCAAATGAACTCTACTTCAGACCCTAGTCACAGATCCTCTTTTTCAGAGTTCAGTGAGATGCTTGACTATGACCAAAATCACAAGTCCTTCCCCACTGATATCAGTCAAATGTCCCTTTCCTCAGAACATGAAGTCTGGCAGACAATCACCTCTCCAGACCTCAGCCAGGTGACCCTCTCTCCAGAACTTAGTCAGACAAACCTTTCCCCGGAACTGGGTCAGATTTCTCTTTCTCCAGACCTCGGTCAGATGGCTCTCTCTCCAGACCTCAGCCAGGTGACCCTCTCTCCAGAACTCAGTCAGACAAACCTTTCCCCAGAATTGGGTCAGATCCCTCTTTCTCCAGACCTCAGTCAGACGACTGTCTCTCCAGAACTTAGTCAGACAAACCTTTCCCCAGAACTGGGTCAGATTCCTCTTTCTCCAGACCTCAGTGAGATGACTCTCTCTCCAGAACTCAGCCAAACAAGCCTCTCTCCAGACCTCAGCCAGGTGACCCTCTCTCCAGAACTTAGTCAGACAAACCTTTCCCCAGAACTGGGTCAGATTTCTCTTTCTCCAGACCTCAGTCAGATGGCCCTTTCTCCAGACCTCAGCCAGGTGACCCTTTCTCCAGACCTCAGTCAGACAAACCTTTCCCCAGAACTAGGTCAGATCCCTCTTTCTCCAGACATCAGTCAGACAACTGTCTCTCCAGACATCAGTCAGACGACTCTCTCTCCAGAACTCAGCCAGACAAACCTCTCTCCAGACCTCAGTCACACGACTGTCTCTCCAGAACTCAGTGAGACAAACCTCCCTCTAGACCTCAGCCACGTGAATCTCTCTTCAGACCTAAGCCAGACAAACCTCTCTCCAGAACTCAGTGAGATGCCACTCTTTGGAGATCTCAGTCAAATTCCTCTTTCCCCAGACCTCGACCAGATGATGCTTTCTCCAGACCTTGGTGAGACAGACCTTTTCCCAGACTTTGGTCAGATATCCCTTTCCCCAGACTTCACCCAGGTGACTCTTTCTCCAGACCTCAGTGAGACCATCCTTCTCCCTGATCTCAGGCAGATATCACCTCCTCCAGACCTCAATCAGATATTCTACCCTTCTGAATCTAGTCAGTCATTGCTTATTCCAGAATTTAATGAGACTTTTCCTTATTCAGACATTGGTCGCACGCCATCTCCTTCATCTCCTACTCTCAATGACACATTTCTATTGAAGGAATTTAATCCACTGGTTATTGTTGGCCTCAGTAAAGATGGTACAGATTACATTGAGATTATTCCAAGGGAAGAGGTCCAGAGCAGTGAAGATGACTATACTGAAACAGATTATGTGTCCTATGATGACCCCTACAAAACTGATGTTAGGACAAACATCAACGCCTCCAGAAATCCTGACAACATTGCAGCATGGTACCTCCGCAGCAACAATGGAAACAGAAGAAATTATTACATTGCTGCTGAAGAAATATCCTGGGATTATTCGGAATTTGTACAACGGTTTGGCCAGTTTTCTCCCTTTTTATTCTCATTTTTCCATTACTGTTGAAAAAAGTAGCTACAACAATTCAGGGAGATAATTCTGGGCAAATTATACTGAGAACAGTTTGGTTTCCCTATTGCAAGTTGGTCTGTACTATTTCCTTTGTCAATTCCAAGACTGCTTCTTTACTTTAAATGACCCTGGACAGTATAAGAATAGTCACTGTGAGAACTTTATAATATTCTATAATTAAGCCTTCTTCTGTGTCCTCTCCTCTTACTACCCATGTATCTACTGACTCTTCTTGCTCCAGGCAGAGCCCAACCTATCCATAGCTATACGCTAATCATTATGAGTTCATTGAAGTTAGCCTCAAATCCAAACCCAAATATGATGTCCTTTTTGCATTTACTTATTTATATCAGAATTTCTAAGAGATCCAAATCACTTTTTTAAAAAGATTATTTACAATTCAGTTTTGCTTAGAGGTAGAAAGCCATGATGAGCTGGGCTCTTTTTTCTGGGATGAAGATACAGAACGAAAAAAGAGAGAGGAGGAAAGGAGCAAGGCTTAGTTAACTACAAATTCTCAGGGATATAGCATGATGACTGCACTTCGACTGTCTAGACATAGCCCATAGCTTTTACAAAAGCTGTTATACTAATGAATTAAAAAACTGAAGTGTAATTACAGTAGGCAAACACAATGTATATTGTAACTTATGCAAATGAGTTCATTAATCTGATGCCTGACATCTCCACATTAGAACTCTGTTTAAAACACTTTTCCTTATGAATTCCTATTTAAATGTTGCACCCAATACCATATGAGAACAACTAGTTATCTGAGTATTTCTAAGCAAGGCCCCAAGGCAGTAGGATGTAGGGCCTGTCCAGAGTGAATAGGGATGGAACCACGTTCAAAATCTTGTATTCCATTGGAGGCTCACAACACACTTTTATGGCAGTCAAAGTTGCTTTACCCACTCCCTTGTGTTCTGTGAATTTGCATGTTATGCTCAGAGTCTGGAAAGATGGGATTAGTAGGGGAGGTAGACCAGAAGAAAGGCAGATTGAGATTCTCTGTTGATGGCTCATGGTATATAGCAAATATTATGGGTTTGATGGATGAGTGTTTGGCTTGTTTCCACAGGCTTGGGAAATGTTGAGAGTCAGTGAGAGAATTTGACATGCTTTGGCCCTAGACTGAGCCAATAAGCTAGATGGGAATAATGGCTTTATTTATTTATAATTTTTAATTATACTTTTTATTTTGGAATTAAAAAATAGATTCACATATAGTTAAGAGAAATAATACAGAGAGCTCCTTTGAGTATCCTGAGTATTCTTCATCCAGTGTCTCCCAGGGGTAACATTTTGCAAATCTGTAATACTATATCACAACCAGCACACTGACATTGATACTGTCAAGATACAGAATGTTTCCATCACCATGAGGAGGGCAGATCACCTGAGGTCGGGAGTCCAAGACCAGCCTGACCAACATGGAGATACCCTGTCTCTACTAAAAATATAAAATTGTCCAGGCGTAGTGGCGCATGCCTGTAATCCCAGCTACTTGGGAGGCTGAGGCAGGAGAATCACTTGAACCCGGGAGGCAGAGGTTGCAGTGAGCCAAGATGGTGCCACTGTACTCCAGCCTGGGCAACAAGAGTAAAACTCTGTCAAAAAAAAAAATCCCTCTCATTACCCTTTTACAGTCACATCTACCTTCCTCCCACCATATCCCTTCCTTATTCCCTAGCAGCCAGTAGTCTGATCTCCATTTCTATAATTTTGTCATTTTAAGAATATTACATAAATGGAATCAGGCAACATGTAACCTTTGGGAACTGGTATTTTTTCACTCAGCATAATTCTCTGAAGATTCCTCCAGGTTATTGCATGTATCAATAGCTCACTCATTTTATTGCTTAGTATTCCGTTATATGAGTGTACCACAGTTTTTTGGGGGGTTGTTGTTTTATATGTATTTATGGTGTAAACATGATGTTTTAATATATTTATAAATTGTGAATTGGCTAAATCAAGCTAATTAACCTATGTATTATCTCACATACTTTTTGTGGTTAGAACACTTAAAATGTACTCTCAGCAATGTTCAAAAATATAGCATGTTATTAATCCCTACAGTCACCATGTTATACAATAGATCTTCTAAATTTATTTCTTCTAACTGAATTTTATCTTCTGATCATTTTCTCAATGTTTCACTTCTGTATCCCTTTGTTAGCCACTGTTCTACCTTCTGCTTCCATGACCTCAATGTTTTTAGATTCCACACATAAGTGCGATCCTGCAGTACTTGTCTTTCTGTGCCTGGCTTATTTTATGTCAGCATAATAACCTCCTGGTTCAGCCATGTTGTTGCAAATGACATTTCTTCTTTTTCTTTTTTTAAATGCTAGATAGTATTTCATTGTTTATGTAGATCAAATTTAAGAAATCCATTTATGGCCGGGCACGGTGACTCAAGCCTGTAATCCCAGCACTTTGGGAGGCTGAGGTGGGCAGATCACGAGGTCAAGAGATCGAGACCATCCTGGCCAACATGGTGAAACCCTGTCTCTACTAAAAATACAAAAAAATTAGCCAGGTGTGGTGGCACGTGCCTTTGGTCCAGCTACTCCGGAGGCTGATGCGGAAGAATCGCTTGAACCCAGGAGGCAGAGGTTGCAGTGAGCCGAGATTGGGCCCCCACACTCCAGCCTGGTGACAGAGCAAGACTCCATCTCA